TGAATTCACAATAACATTAGCCAGATGTAATTATAAATATACCATACACGAGTCTCCTTGCAAATATCATATTTTTCAATGCAATTTCTTGCTTTAACCATCTACATGTAAAATTCTTAAGACATCCTATCTCAAGGATCCTAAATTTTGAAGTGTCATTTAAATGGATCGATTTGAACACATTCATTCATGTTAAAATGACATAGTCAAAATTTTGATACTATTGTTCCAAAACTTGCTTTAAGTCATATAATGACTTTACTAATCACACATTTTGTTTCTTTCCTTCGGGTAAGATAACTGCTTGGCAGTTCCATGTGGATTTATACTTCTAAAACTATGTTTAGAAGTTTTAGTTTCATATCAGAATGACATACTTCCAAAATTCGAGAAGTTACAACCACATATAATTATAAGAGCATACAAATGAAATTAATCAAGACATTCTTATGTTTGTAATCCAAACATATATTTCATGAGCTCTTATTTCTCATTTGGAAACCCACTAAACCGCAGTGATTTCTCAAACTCAGTAGTTCAAACGGTAGAACCATTATCAGTTTTTACAAGTTAATCCAATACGATCTTCTAACAAATGATCATATGATTCCAAATTTAGAATACTCATATTTCCACTCATAGTCATTTCAACTTCATATTGAATATCTTAATATTCACCAAAACCTTTATCTTGTTTTGATGAATTCCAACAAATATTATTGAATTTAATGGAAATAGCTTCTTAGAGTATAGAAGTATCATGTGATTCTAAATTTTCAATCAAGAAATCGGTGTATATTTCTATTGAAATCATAAACCATTATGTTCTAACTGATTCTCATATTCTTTGGATATATCTGCTTTCATTTTCCTCTTGACAGTCTAGTGGTTTACATACTAGAGGTATATCCACTAGCTCTCATGTGTGATTTGGCAAGATAGAATCCATTTCACTCTTAATTACCTCTTTTCATTGAGATCTATCAAATGATTTTTGAAAGTTTGAGGCTCTCTTTCAACCATATACATGCATAAATCATCTCCAAATGATTTCTCACTTGTCCCCTTTTACTCCATCATGATCTATTTATTCCTCCATTTCTTCTTCATGAGAGGATTCTTTGTGCCCGATTGTTTTGGAGCACTTGTCTTTTATTTATCAAGACATAGAAACACATTTTCAAAGTATGATGCATTTGTTGATTCCATTAGTGTACAAAAAAACAATAAACACTATTGTTTTGTGTATAACCAATAAAGATGCAACCAAAAATCTAGTGTCTGATCCTTACAACCTTTGGGTTAGGTATAACACCATTTGCAAGACACTCCCACATTCGAATGCATTTGTAAGATGATTTTATACCCGACCATAACTTAGATGATATTTTTTCTTGTTTTCTTTTAGGGTGCCTTATTTAAAAGGTAATTAGTTGACAACACAACTTCCCCACACATTGAGTGTAGCAACCCAAAACATAAGCACCAACATGACATTCATCATTTCATTTAAGATATGATGTTTCCTTTCGATGATGCCATTTGTTATGGTGAATAAGGTGCCTTAAGATCATGTTTAATACCATGACTTGCAAAAAATTCCTCAAACGGTGATGCATATTCACCTGCACATTCACTCTTTTTGTTGAGATGATTCACAACCTCACTTTTGTACAATTTAAACTTGTACATCTTTACTTTTAAGTAAATTAACATAACAAAGTTTAATGCAATCGTTAATAAAAGTGATAAAGTACTTATATCACCGTTATATGGATTCGACCTCATATCACACACATTTGTGTGAATTAATCCAAGGGGTTTAGTCGTCCTTTCAACGAACTTGAATGATTTGTGTGTTAACTTTGACTCAACACAATTGTTGCATCCATATTTTGACTTATACGAAAGTGAGGTATGTATTCAAATTTGATTATTCTTCTTAACGTGTTAATATTAACATGTGCAAATCTAGCATGTCACACATTAGAAATTTAAGCAAGTAAGCGGAAGAGTTATCCAACTCATTGATATTAGGCTCATTATCCAATATATGGAATTTAAACATTCCACCATCCTCATAGACCTTGCCTACAAACATACTTTTTTAGGTTTGTACAAACTTATTGGACTCAAACAGCAAAAAAATCCATGTTTGTTCAAAAACCATCCAAACACTAAGTTCTTCTATGAAACATACAACACATCATTAAGTGTTAGCTCTTTTCTATGCGATACCATTTATGGAATGTTTTAAACATCAAGTTTAAGTGTTTATAATCACAATTTCAAGAATAATTTTTTTCCTCAACTTGGAAAACCTTATAATTCTTGAGTCACTCCCTCTTTGAGCACACATGGCGTGTAGCACCCATATCAATCCATCACTCAATAGAGTTAGCATCCATAGAGTTTACTTTGGAAATCGTTCTACTTTGGATGGTGACATTTCTGAATTCATTTATACTCTAAATATAAATGTTTTGAATTCTAATTTCCAGAAAATATGTTTGCCTCTTGCTTGGACAAAACTCAACATAATTAAAAATCTATCTTTGAACACTTATGAAACTTGATTTTTGATGCAGAAATTCTAAAATTTGATTTCTCATGCAGAAAACTGATGCATAAACTATGATATAAGAAAATCCGATGTTTTCTTTCAACAAAATTATTTAAAATGTGATGTTTTTAAGTAAAACCAAGTTGTTTTCTGATTTCCAAAGTTGTTTACATAAAATTGAAGTCGTTTTTGACTAAACAAAGCCTTTGTGTTTTTCACAAAACAATGCAGTCTAAGACTACTTTAGCCCTACTTAAATCTGTCAAAAATGCAATCTAAGTTCATAATCCAGTAGCCCTGTCTATTAGCTTTCCAAGGAATTCTTTAACAAGTTCATACAATTTTTCTACAATTTATTATGAATTTTACAAAACTATGTATCATAGCCACTAAAAAACTATCCAGTAAGTGAAAATCGTATTTTTCACCATAGTTAGAGTTGTTTCTAGCTTTCGGCCAAAATTAATGAAATGAAGTAGACTCATATACAAAACTTTGAGAATTGGTTTCAACAAAAATTGAGCATCCATGACAAAGTTATGATTTTTCAAAGATTGGGACAGATTAGAGCATTTCACAGCAACTCGTAAATTGTGTTTTTGAGTTAAGCTAGCTTCTTAACCCATTAGGTACTTAATGAAATTAGTATCGAAGCTGGAAAAATTCGATACTTATTAAAAAACATGTCTTAATGAATTAATGACCAAAGGTGCTTCAAAATCACAAAACTATCCAATTTTTCTTATGAAAATCGTACAATATCAAAATAATGCAAGTAAAATTGTTTCCGATTTCTAGTTCGATTCGTACAAACAAATTTTGTTTTAAGATTGTAGGAGTAATATCCCGGTAATGTACGAAAACAAAAAAAGAAAATAGAAAAACTGAGGCATGTGTTTAACACATTGTCCTTAAAACAAATTCGCCCGCTACCGGATGTTTGTTTCTCAGGATACAACAGTTTGAAGTGGTTCTTCTAGACCACCCGAACCCTCAATAGGCATGAATTATATCTTCAATATAGCTAGAAAAAGAAGAAGATGAAGTGGGGAAGAAGAGAGTTTTTTTACATTCTTTTGGTGTTGTCAAAATGGTTGTAGAGTAGTGGTATTTATACTACACATTCTATAACCTCTCATTTAAACACTTCTATTAATCACAAAGATTAATGTGTGTTAATATGTAATTAAATTGTAATATTAATTACAATTTCAGTTACGAAATAAAGAAATATTTGCAAGAAAGGTCCCTGAACTTTTCTTTTCTTTCTCCTACCCATTAAACTCTTTTATTTACTTCTTCCAACACCCTTACTTTAAAGATTAATTTCTCATTTATATTAATTTGGACATGTTAAAAAAATGGGGAAAACCCATTTTTATAAATTGGTTAACACCAATTTTCCAACAAAAAGGAACGGTGATTACCTTCTTTTTAGATATTGAATTTGTAATCCAATGCGCTTCTAAATATATGAAGTCGAAGAAGGCCGGTTATGAATTCGATTTAAATTTAAAGATAATTTATTCATGATTTCTTATTGATTTGATATAAACTACCGATAGACTTTATGGATGCTTCATATCAAAATTGAAAATAATAAAAAAGAATTCAAATTGTGTTGCTTGATTACAAGGATTAAAATATAAATCAAGGATTAAAATATGACTAAATTTAAATATGAAATCACATAAAATTACAAGTGTAATTTTTATATTGAATGTAAATTATAGAAAAATAACACTTGTCAAAATACATAAGAATATGACATTTGTCAAAAACGGTTTTCATTTATTAGAATAAATTAATGGAGACACACATAAAGTAAGGATGCTTACTTTTATCCTATTTCTTGATTCAAGGATGATATACAAAACTATAAGGTTTGATATTAAAATCAATTTGAGGACATTTATAGGTTTGTGGATTTCCTGGTTCATGATTATGTTATGGGCTCGTGATTATAGGATGTTTATGGGTTTATCATTTATATGTTTCCTAGTATGAAACAAGTATTGGTTTGGGTTTATGAGTTTGTTTAAAGATTTGTTTCCAAATTCAAGCATATCTTCTAGATTAAAATAAATTTCGAGTTAGATCTATGTTTATGAGGATCTTGTTTTGGTGAGTGGTGATCAAGACGGAGATAGTGGTGTCAATATAGAACGATGTGATGGGTGTAAGTGGTGTTTTTTTTAGAGAGGATAAGACCAACATATATATTTAATATGTTTTTGTATTAGATTAATAATAAACAAATAAACAAATAAAAAAAATAAAAATAAAAATAAAAATAAAAGGTAATACATATGTCAAGGACGAAAAAACAACAAAGGTATTATAAACATGGTTAGAGTTTATAAAAAAAAAAAAAGTAACGATTTCATAATTTACTAGTATATAATGTATTGTCCAACTCCTCGTGCCTTTAGCGGCCATGACCTGGGCCAAACTAAGTCAAGAAACGCGTCCGGTCGTGCACCCGGACTTTCATCGACAGAGCCGCACCTGAGGGCTGAGGCGGGAACTTTAGCCCGGGCCCACTGCTCTGACAGCGTACTACCCTTTTTCTACGATAGAGCAACGCACCACTCGGATTTCACGGTATTTTCCTTCCGATTTCACAGAGCGAGGATTGCGCAGACTGCCGAGGGTTTTTTTTATTGGCGATGGTGGTACCATCGACTTCTTCAGCTTTTGAGTCATCTTCGTCTTCTTCGTCTTCGTCTATGGAGAATTTCAGTAATCTTCCTATCATGTCGCTCCGGAGCAAAATTGTCGAGAAGATAATGGAGAATCGCGTCACTCTGATCGTCGGTGAAACCGGCTGCGGTAAAATTACTTCAACTGTTGTGTAGTTTCTTGATGCTGCTTTTTTAATCATCTAAAGTTGTTGGATAAAAGATACCAGCGAGTCAGTGACTCACTGGACTGTAGAAAAGACTTTAGCTTGACCTTTAATATCGAGCATAACCTACTACTCGTCAACTTAAGTTAATCGTATGAGGTTTTACTCAAACTTTTTGAGTTCAACAACTACGCGAGGGTTTACAATGCACGTCTAAATAGAGGTGCAAAGGGGTTAAAAATCTAAGAATAAACACATCTGCAATTGAGCACTAATTTTCGTCTGAAGCCTAGTTTGCTGTGATACTTTGATATGTATTTTGTAATTTTATTTATACCGGTTACCTTGCATTTTGATAACGAAGGGAAGAGCTCGCAAGTTCCTCAGTTTTTACTAGAAGCAAATATTGAGCCGATAATATGTACACAACCAAGGAGATTCGCTGTGGTGGCAGTTGCTAAAATGGTGGCCAAAGCTCGAAATTGTACAACAGGGGGTGAGGTTGGATATCACATTGGTCATTCCAAGGTTATCTCTTCAAGGTACTCACATTATATTTTCATATTTTCAAACGTCTTTCTCTTACTCTAAATTTTTAATTCTGATCTTGCAGCTCTAAGATCATCTTTAAAACTGCTGGAGTTTTGTTGGAGGAAATGCGAGAAAAAGGCATGAATGCTTTGAAGTATAAGGTTATTATTCTTGATGAAGTTCATGAACGTTCTGTTGAATCGGATCTTGTTCTCGTATGTGTAAAACAGTTTCTGATAAAGAATAGCGCGTTAAGGTCAGCTTTTTTTTTTGTGGGCTTAAAAGTTTTAACTAGTTTATATGAGGTGGTGATCTATTGTAGCATTTTCCAGGGTTGTATTGATGTCTGCTACTGCTGATATTTCAAGATACAAGGATTACTTTAAAGATCTTGGGAGAGGTGAAAGGGTTGAAGTTTTAGGTATCCCGAGTTCCAGCCAGCATACCCTGTATCAACGTAGAGTTTCATATCTTGAGCAGGTTGTTTGATTATTCTGAATCAAGTTTTTGTTTTGGGCATGTATAATTGGTGTTTCATCTTTTTATTATGATTAAACAGGTGGTTGAACTTTTGGAAATGGATTCAGAAACACCTCTGTCATTAAAATACTGTTCAGGATCAAGCCCATCATGTGAAGCAACCATGAACGAAGAGGTGCACAAGCTTATACACAATCTAGTGTTACATATTCACAAAACAGAATCAGACATGGAGAAAAGCATTCTGATATTCCTTCCAACTTACTACGCCTTAGAACAGCAATGGCTTTCTTTGAGTCGTTTCAGCAGTGCTTTCAAAATCCACATCTTACATAGCAGCATTGACACAGAGCAAGCTCTTAATGCAATGAGAATCTGGAAATCTCATCGCAAGGTTATATTAGCAACAAACATTGCAGAATCTTCTGTAACAATTCCAAAAGTTGCATATGTCATTGATTCTTGTAGATCATTGCAAGTCTACTGGGATGCAAATAGAAAAACCGAATCCTCAGAGATCGTTTGGGTATCTGAATCTCAGGTAATTAGGGTTTCACAATTCACAATTCACAATTCACAATTCACACTTTCACTTAATCTTTGTTTTTGGAAATGACATGATTACCCTTTTGTATAGGCTGAGCAGCGTAGGGGAAGAACAGGGCGGACTTGTGATGGTGAAGTTTATCGACTTGTGACAGAACCATTTTTTGGGCAGCTAGAGAAATATGAGACTCCAGCTATATTGAAGTTATCATTGAGACAACAAGTGCTTCTTACAGCTTGTGCTGAATCAAGAACCATAAATGATCCAAAAGGTATAATTATAAACTGATTTTTCTAAATACTATATATAAATACTATTTTCATATCTAATTTTTTTTTTTAAAAGTGTTGTTGCAAAAAGTTATGGATCCACCAAAACCGGGAGTTGTTGAAGATGCATTAGATTTGCTTGTTCACATTCGTGCTTTAGAGACAACATCTCCCAGAGGGCGATATGAGCCAACTTTCTATGGGAGATTGCTTTCCAGTTTTTCATTATCTTTTGATGCTTCCATGCTTATACTCATATTTGGAGAAGCTGGAATGTTACATGAAGGGATTATAATGGGTATCCTTATGGATACTCAGCCTTTACCAATCATTCGCCCCTTTGGACAAGAAGCATTGGTATGAATATGAATATGAATATGATTAACACTTATTCGTTTCAGCTTCTAATCTTTCCAGATTATTGATGTAAATTTACTTATGATTTTTACATTTACAGTTTTCTAAGTTCACTGATGATTACTATAATCAAAATGGTAAAATCACTGGTTTGATGGGTAGGAAGGAAGTCATATACATGGCAAACTTTTGTGCTTTCCACTTCTGGCAACGTACTTTTAAGGTACATAATCACATGATTAATTACTCTTTTTATCAGTTTTATATCTTAAATGGTTTAAATAATGACATTTATTTGTATTTTTTACCACATTGAAGGATAACTTTCGACTTGAGCGTTTGAAAAACATATTAAAGTTTAAAGAGACAACAGACATCCAAATTCCTCCCTTGAAGATAGAAGAAGAATGGTGTTTATTCCACAATCTTGTCCAGTCATCACTTCAGCATGTTGCAAATATATGTATGATTCTTGAGATGTCAATTCAAGTCCTTTTTTTTATTATATAAAAGTCTTTGTTAATTTTGATTAATTTTTTTATTTTCAGATGAGAGTGTTCTTAATTCTATACATAGATTTCGTCCCAAGTTTCTAGCAACTTCCAGTGGTCTACCACCTTACACACCCTATGAACATAAGCATACATGTCTTCTCACAGCTGAATACAATGAAGATTCCGATACATTTCCCATAGAAGATGACATCAGCACTACTATTCATGAACCTAAAAAATGCATAGCTCTACCTTTTGTGGATGCACATGGATTCAACAAGAAAGGTGTCTCTTTCACATTGGCTAACTCAATCAAACAGGTATTTTTACTAACTTTACATGTGTTTCTGTTGTTATATTCATAAAATGATAAAAATTTATAGTTTTATTTATGTTTGTCATGTCATGTAGATAAGGTCCCGATATCTGGAGGACATATCTGACAACCAAGAGATTTCCAATTCTTACAGTGGTTCAGAAGTTTCTCAATGTAGATTTTTTCTCAATGGGACATGTAACAAAGGAAGCCTTTGTTTATATGCCCATTCATTAGAAGCTAAAAAACCAGTTTGTAAATTCTTCCTATCATTACAGGTAAACTCGTATCAGATATTAAAGTAAATTACGTTTGATATTTGATATTAACTGTTGATGAATATGAATCTACAGGGATGTAGAAATGGAAATACGTGTTATTTCTCTCATACTTCAGAGCAACCACGTTCTTTACAAAATGAGCAAGGATTATGTGTGTCAGAAGATGTATCTGCTGATGCTTCTATGCTTTTGAGTTTATTTCCAACTCCAGATGAAGGATGTGTTCTTTTATTTGATGATTTTGATATTCAATTCTCTGCAAATTTTGCTCAGTTTTACAACGCGTCATCTATATTATGCACAACTTCTGCAGTTGAAACTTCAGTTGATCCATATCTGAAAGATATAAGAATACATTGGGGACTCTCTCATCCACATGAAACCATTATTCCTAAATCTTCCAAAAACATGATCCCATGGAAACAAGTCAAATGCATGGTTTGGATTCCTAAATTTGGTAATGATGTAGAGAATATGGAAGAACAGAAAAGTCTTGTGAAAACTTTCTTTGATCATCTTTCCATTCGTATGTTGGGTGATGCTTTGCATCATGTCCATGTCATCCTTGTTATGAACAACCTTCGATTCACTCAACTACAGGTACATATTATTACTATTATCAAACAAGTGACTTTTTAAAGATTAAACATAACTTTTTATGTATTTGTTTCAGGTTGAACATGTTGGAAGGGAGAGTTTCTTTTACCTTAGAGAATCGTTTGGGTTTGATGAATACAGCTTTGGAAAGCTGTGTGATGGTGTGACTACTAAAAAGCCAATGTTGACATCCAAGGCAGTTGTGTATGCATTCGATTTGTGTCCTCCTAATGATATTCAGTTTGGTGATTTTGCATCACTTCTTCACAAGCAGCTACATAACTTAAGTTAGGAAATGGTATATTGCTAATGCTTGGTTTTTAGAAATAGTAATTATAATGGGATGTGTGTTTATGGTTGTTTACTTTGCACTAGTTTTTTTTTTTTTTTTCCACTGGGAGCTAAATTTATAACTACGTTCTATTCTATTAGCGAAGCGATCATTTCGGATTGTCTTATGTTGATCTCATCCGTAATTTAAATGGTGTAAACATGTAATCTTCTAAAGTTTTTTTTAGATAGATTTCACCCCAAAATGATGTAAAGTTGAAGAAGATTAGTAAAATATGCGTTAGATATGAGAATTACTCGGAGCACATTTAGCAATCTGTTTATTAAATTTTGCAACACACTTGCCGATTTCTAGCCCATTTACCGATTTTTACGTTGGGTGAAATGTATTTTTTTTTGCCCAAATATGGGAGAAAGCCTAATGGAATTGAGAGATTATGATTTTTGTTTTGTTTTGTTATTTTTTTTATTATTATTAATCATTATTATTATATAGTTTAACCTAAGGAGGAAAAAAAACCGAAAAAATGAACTGTAATCAGAACCAAACTGGTCATTCCGTTCAGTTTTAGGTTCCAATAATTTCCAATTTTTGGTTTTTGGTTGTTCTCTCTCTCTCTCTCTTTCTTTCTTCGGTTTTGGAACTGTTTTTGAATTTTTTTTTTCTCACAGTATTTTTTTTTTTATAATTTTTGTCTAACTTTGAACGGTCATAACTCTTGCATTTGTTAAGAAAATGGCTGAGTTACATAGCTCTAAAAAAAGGGTTGTTATTTTTTTCTTAGTATTGTTTATAAGAATAAAAATTGTACTCTTATCAACCATATTTGGAAGCTTAACATATAACAATATAACCGTATTTTTATCGTTTTATCTCAAAATAACCATGGACTCTGTAAATAATGTGTAAATATTCGGGAGATAACTTTTTCTAACAAAAAAGCTCAACAATATTTGAAAATTCAAAAAGCTCAACAATATTTGAAAATTCACAAAGCTCGCGAATTTGCAAAATTTCAAAAATAAAACATAAATTTTTTGATTATATTCACAAGAATAAAAATAATCGGTTATGTCGAGAAAAACCACAAATTCGTTAATATGTCAACATAGTAATGTGCAGGAAAAGTTTTCAAATTTGGTAATTGAACTTTTTTTTAACAGAGCTGGTCAAAATAAAAATTTGTTTTAAAACTGCTTATATATGCATACACTACTCTATTTTTAAATCTTTTGTCCACAACAAGATTAGTACCTTTACATTTGGTTGAAAGACAGCTGCTATTCGTTAACTTCTATACTGCTAGGCCAAAAACCTTTTGTTAAAATAGCCACTATACACTCTTTTGAAACATAATAGTGGTTTAGTGGCATGACATTTTCTACGAATAATTTATAAAAATTGTAGGGATCAATTCTGAATTTTTGTGTAAGTTATAAGTTATAACATTTAAAAAATAAAATATTATATATTATTGTGGAGAATTAAAAATGCATTAAAGATCCACGATTGGTGCATTATAGAGGTTGGAGTTTGACTTTTAAAAGGACAGAGTCAAAATTACTCAAAGTCTACCGCCAAACTACCTTTGAGTGAGATTGCCATTTGCCCCGTGATTTAATTATTTGTATACTTTTCACTCCAACGTTGTTTTGATAATAATCAATTAATCATTTATACCATTTAACAGAACAGCAATATACAACGAATGTGTACATGTCAAGATAGGGAGGATTGATTTGATCCACCATCGATTTCTTTTTATGAGTTTGACAAATAATTAGTTCATTATGTAAAAGTATAAAAAACTTATATAATATTAAAGTAATAGTTCCTTTTAATAAGATGATTTTATGACCTAACCATTTGAATAAGTTTTGGACGACTCTCACCATGATTTTTTAAACAAAGCAAGTAGAGCTAAATGAGATAGAGAGTTGTATTAGTTTAGAGCATGCTTATAATGGAAAAACTAAAATACACAAGTCGACAATTAATATAAAAATAGAATAGATGTAAATGATGTTTTAGAGTTTAGACTAGGTTTGGGCAACATACCATATGAACTCATTAAACCAATGTCATCTTTTTTTTCGGTACTCAAACTTACAACATTGACCCTTCATCTATTATGCTTTTGTTCACAAACAACCCTTTCACTTTGGTTTGAATTTTTCATAACCCTCGCATTTTATTACATATTATTAGTATTTAGTCTTTTGGCAGAAATTGTCCCTCATCGTTATTATTATTATTGTTAGACAAAATTATACGATTGGTCCCTGTGGTTTACCAGATTTAACATTCTCTTTTTGGTTTTAAATTAATGTTTTATTTATTAGAAAATACCCACCCAATACCATAAACCCACCCACCATCTGCCATCACCACCACCACTACCGCCAAAATTACATAAATGGTCCATATGGTTTACCCATGGTGACAAATTCAGTCCCTACTACCTGAAAAGACCAAATTACTCTCACATTAACGGACAAAAAACAACCAACATGTTACTTTACTTTACAAAGCAATACCTTCCGACCCCGGCAACGCCGAAGAATCTTTTCTAATTTTTATTAACTTAGTGTTGAGAAATAGTAAAACTTTTGGTATACTATACACATGATTTAATGCAATTACTTAATCATTTAATGAATATAAAAAAATCACGTATCAACTAAAAACAAAAATAAAGAAGCTTTATAAATCAAAATGAAAAGTACTTTTTAATGTCTTTTCAGATAATAACTTTTTTTTTATCAAACTTTACTTTAAATAAAATAATAATATACTTTTTCTTATCTATGACTATTTACATTTTTGTTAATTTACATAATAATAAAAAACATCGTTCAAATTAAGGTATTTTAGCAATGTTTGTTTGATATAAAAAAGATAAAAAAACACATCATTATATATATAATAAAAAGCAATCTTAATAAAGTTGTGTTTTTATAATTTGATCATGAAAATTTCTTATTTCACATTTTGTCCACAAATAACTTTCTTATTTTGGCTACAAAAGTTTTTTATGTTAACAGATTTGGTTATAGACTTTCGTACATTTGCAATTTTCTCATTTTTATTTTATAGAACGACACTTTCCACCATTTTTATGCTGGTTATCAAATTCTGCTGCTCTTATAAAAAGCAAACGTGTTGCGGTAAAAGTTTAAGGAAATTATTTGTGAAAACTGTCCGTGTCTCATTTTCGACTGCATGTTCATTACAAATTATGAAAATCCATAGCAAAGAAAGTATCATTTGTTGTTAGCTTAAAAACGAAAGTAGCATGCATTTTTGCTTTACAAATGAAAGTAACATTAATATTCTACCTTAAAACTGAAAATATCATGTTATTATTCGCTTAAAAACGAAAATAACATGTTATTTCTGCCTTACAAATGAAAATAACATGCATATTTTGCCATAAAAATTAAAGTAGAATGCTATTTTTCGTTTAATTTGAAAGTAACATGTCATTGTTGGCTTAAATGAAATACCATTCTATTTTTGCCTTAAAAATGAAAGCAACATGCTATTGTTTCACTTAAATTGAAAGTAACATGTTATTGTTGACTTAAAAATGAAAATTGTATGTTATTTTTTCCTTATAAATGATAGCAGCATGCATATGTTGCCTTAAAAATTAAAGCAACATCCTATTTATCGCTTAATTACAATAGCATGTTATTCTTGGCTTAAAAATGAAAGTAGCATTCTATTTTTGTTTTACAAATTAAATTAACATGATATTTTCCCTTAAAAATGAATGTATCATGTTATTATTTGGCTTAAATTGAAAGTAACATGCTATTATTGGCTTAAAAACGAAAGTAGCATATTATTTTTTCATTATAAATAAAAGTAGCATGTGTATTTTGCCTTAAAAACTAAAGCAACATGCTATTTTTGTCTTAAAAATGAAAGTAACATGTTATTTATGTCTTAAAAATGAAAATAACACACTATATTTCGCTTAAATTGGAAGTAGCATGCTATTTTTTCCTTACAAATGTAAGTAGATGCACATTTTTATTAAACTAAAAGTAACATATTATTGTTGGCTTAAAAACAAAAGTATCACGTTATTTTTTCCTTGCAAATGAAAGTAACATGCATATTGTACATTCCAAGTTAAACCAACATGCTAGTTTTGCCTTAAAAACGAAAGTAGCCTTTCATTTTTCGCTTAAAAATGAAATTACCATGTTATGTTGGCTTAAAAACAAAAGTAACATGTAGTTTTTGCCTTACAAAAGAAAGTAGCATGATATTTTGCCTTCAAAATTAAAAAAAATAATAATTATTTTTTGCCTTAAAAATTAAAGTAAGGGTATGTTTGGGTTAGCTTTTTTATCACAAAAATGATTTTTAAGAAAAGTGCTTATTAACTTATGGCTGTTAGGAAAAACGGGTTTTAAAAAATGTTTGGATAAGAAAAGCTGTTTTTAGGAGTAAAATGGCTAAAAAGTTAAAAAACTAGGATTTTCCATATTTTTGAAAGATTTATTTTTTCCTATCCAAAAAGTTGTTTTAAAAAACATTTTTTAAATACACAAACACTTTTTTTTAGCCTATTAGCTTTTTAAAAAGCTAAAAATCTGATAAGTTATTTTCCAGAACAATCATAAACATCCACTAACATGCTATTTTTTCGGTTAAAATGAATGTAACATGCTACTTTTCGATTAAAAAATGAATGCTAATTTTCACTTTAAAATGAAATCTTAAAAATGACGTCGCATGATATTTTCCATCTAAAAATGAAAATAGCTTGTTATTGTTTAAAATTTAAAATAACATGCTATTTTTGCCTTAGGAACATGCATATTTTGTTTTAAATCAATACCGCAAAATTTGATTTCGGTAATAGTGTAATACCAAAATGGCATTTACCGGAATTACCACATTCCAAAAATACATATATCGTATATAAATAACTAACTCACCTTGAACTTGACATACCACCCTGTGCTGTTCTTAAGACCTTAAAAACAGTATTTTTTTTTTTGATAAATATTATAGTTTATAATTTTACAAAAATCATGAATATTTAGTAACTTAATTCAAAAAAGATATCTAAGTAGTCAGTACACAAACAAGGACTTTCCGCAACTCTCTCCTACTTGGAACCTAGTGTTTGCTTTTTAGGCCACATCCAAAGGGCCAATTTGAAAATTCACCCTACGCCAGTCTTTATTCTATTCTTAGTCACCTACCGGAGAGTTTAAACCACCGCCACCAGACCATCTTCTCCCCATATATATACCGCCTTTCACTACCCCTCCACCACTCATTCTCTCTGTCTCTCTCCCTCTCTCTCTGCGTGTTCACATATATAGAGAGAGAAACACATAGTGAAACGACATGAAGATGGGATCTGAGTTGACATACAGGCGGCACGAACCTCAACCCACGTCGGATTCTTACTCGCCGAAGCCCAACAAACCATGGCTCGCTGTCACTCGCCTTGTTCGTTACATGCTCCGGGAACAACGCCTTGTGTTTGTCCTCGTCGGCATTGCCATCGCCACCTCCGTCTTCGCGATCCTTCCTTCCTCCACCAACACCAACACCTCCACCCATGCCTACTCCGTCTCCGAATCGGTCCAAATGACAAATCCGAGACGATCCGTTTATCCTACTGGATTCGAGTCGTCGTTGAGTATGGGCGGGAAGATTCCTTTAGGTCTGAAAAGGAAGGGATTAAGGATTGTGGTGACTGGTGGCGCAGGTTTTGTCGGAAGTCATCTGGTTGATCGGTTGATTGCGAGGGGAGATAGCGTGATTGTTGTTGATAATTTCTTCACCGGAAATAAGGATAACGTGATGCATCATTTTGGGAACCCTAGATTTGAGCTAATTCGACACGATGTTGTTGAGCCCTTACTACTTGAAGTCGATCAGATCTATCACCTTGCTTGCCCTGCTTCCCCTGTTCACTACAAACACAATCCCGTCAAGACAATCATATCCTTACTTATAACTAACTTCGATTAACCATTCATTTTATTACTAATTTTCATTCCGTGATACCATAATTTCTCAATTTTGATATTTATTTCATCAATAGGTACCGTAGCTTTAATCATTCATCCATGTTTGAGTATTACTAATTTTCTGTTTCTGAATAGGGTCCTTAGTTGCAGTTTTGATTCTGATTTTATCACATGTGACCTTCATTCATTCATTCATTCATTCATGTTTGATTGTTACTAGTTTTCCTTTTGTGAATCCTTAATTCCAATTTCGTTCCTTCTCACAAAACGAATGTTGTGGGAACACTGAACATGCTAGGGTTGGCAAAGAGGATCGGAGCACGCTTCTTGCTAACAAGCACCAGTGAGGTATACGGCGATCCTCTCCAACATCCTCAAGTCGAAACCTACTGGGGCAACGTCAATCCTATCGGTCAGTTCTTTATTCTTCTTCCTATCGCCGACAAATGTGGATGAATGTGGTAGATTCCAACCACCATATGTATTTGTAAATTTGTAATTAGATCTATCAAGTGGTCAATGTTTACATCAATCACCTTTTCCGGGTCTCTGATTGGTTTATGAACTGTGAAATTGTGATCTTAATTTGGGGGATCTGAGAAAAAAACAAACAAACAAAGCAAACAAGATCTGAGTAGGAAGTGGGTATTTGGTGCTTTTTTTTTGACAGGTGTCCGAAGCTGCTACGATGAAGGAAAGCGAACTGCAGAAACGTTGACCATGGACTACCATAGAGGTGCTGGCGTCGAGGTCTGTTTTTTAATTTTATTTTGAATTTTCTTTACCTAAAATTTGAATATCGTGAAAACATCCACCAATCACAGAAACTATATAATGTTTGTTTTAAGAATTAAATGAAAATACATTGTATTTTTTAAGTAGAGGCTTGATTTTTAAAGTTTTGGATAAAATAGTTGAAGTAAAATATTTTGTTAAACATAATTTATTTTTATTATTATAACAAAAAATATTTTTATAACTGAAATAAGATATTTGCGTAAATATAAATTACTTTATTGATAACAGGATATGGTAATTGCTAGAGTTGAAATTATTGGTGTAAAAATAATCCTAGAGTAACTATGCCGTTATATTTTGTTTAAAGTGTTAGTCTTGCTTTTAATCATTGTATTTTATTCCTGTGAAATAAAATAAAAAAGAAAAGGACTTGTTATTTTGTCAAAATTAAACGTTAAGTACGGTGAATTGTTCAGTTAGATCTATGTCTTCATTATTAAACTATTGTGATTTTTTTTTTTTTTTTTTTTTTTTCATTTTGTAAAAGAATATCCCTATCTATAACGAAAAATAAAATAAAAAATACAATGTTTAAAATGTCAACTGTCTGTCGACATGCCATAGTGCAACTTTTTATTTTATTTTTTTGTTATAAACAAATTGTGATGACTACGCCAAAAGAGTTCATTTTTTTTGGTATTAATTTGTTTGGACACAAGTGTTTTGAGCCAAATTAAAAATTAAATGCAAAGTTAAAAAACGCAAGGTGTTATTAATTTGAAAGTTGGTTTTGTGAAATGTATTGTAGGTACGGATTGCAAGGATATTCAACACATATGGTCCTCGGATGTGTATTGACGATGGACGCGTCGTTAGTAACTTTGTTGCTCAGGTGGGCTTTTAGATATGCTGTTATTAATATACGGAGTATTATATTTTATGCTTCTATTTCTATTTCAATGTGGATTCATATTCTATCACTTGCAACCATTTTATGATTCTGACCCATAAAACCATAAACTAAACCATGGATGCAGGCACTAAGGAAAGAACCTCTCACTGTTTACGGTGATGGCAAGCAAACAAGAAGTTTCCAATATGTTTCCGATTTGGTTAGCAATGCCTTCTCTTCTTTTTCCTTCACATATCTCTATATCTCGCACTTGTACATATCCTTTAATTATCACATATGACAATTGTCATCATGAAAAATCAACCTTCTAATGATTTTTTTTTGAATTGGATCGGAAGGTTGAAGGTCTAATACGATTAATGGAAGGAGAACATGTCGGACCTTTTAATCTTGGAAACCCCGGTGAATTCACCATGCTCGAACTCGCCCAGGTATATATATATATACATATATTATATCCTTTAATTGTTTCCACTTTTCCAAAATCGGGTAAAAATGTGTAATGCTTTAACCATTGCTAAATACATAATGCTTTGGTCCCACAAATAAATTTTGACAATTTGTGTGGTCAACACAACAGGTGGTCCAGGAGACAATAGACTCGGAAGCGAAAATAGAGTTCAGGCCAAACACGGAAGATGATCCACACAAAAGAAAGCCAGATATTACTAAAGCCAAAGAGCTTCTAGGATGGAATCCTAAGGTCCCTCTCCGCAAGGGTCTTCCTATGATGGTCTCTGATTTCAGACAACGCATTTTTGGCGATCACAAGACCACCACCACCGCCACCTCAACATAGGTGATAGGTGGGGTGTTGTATACAGTAAATCAGTTGTATTATGTTATGAGTCTTATGACTCCGTTCTCGATTGTTTCATTTTGAAATTATATACTAGTTGTCTAGTTATATATATTGATTACCTTTTATTTGAATCAATGAGTTTTTAATTTTATTGCAACATAAAAGTTGTATTTGTTAATACTTAAATGATTGGTTGTATCTATATCATACTTTCTACTTTCATAATCACAAAGGGAGGTGCCTTGTATTACGTGAACATTGATCTAATTCATCATAGCATTCTCATCAAATTAGATTAAACTTGGAGTAGGGCATAAATGGAATCGTAATTTGTAATTGTTAGTATATATTTATTATTGTACATAGACATGAACATAGAGACAAGTCGTGAAAAAAGATCAAGACCAAACAGGTCTAGAACGAGAAAATTGAAAAAAAACTGACTATGATTAGTTAGAAAAAAGACGGGACCGTTCCAACATCGGTACCAAAAAATGTCAGAGCGGTCTAATACAACCTGAAAATAGTCTCAAAATAATACAAAAAACCAAAGTTTATATACATATCATTTTTTGTGTTAATTACACATTACCTACTTCTTCTCTTCTTTCATGTATTAAATTTTAATGTATCATTTATAGTAAATATTAATGTATCATTTTGGTGTTAATCAAACACCTGTTAAACGAAGAACCCGAAACTAAATTGAAAAAAACCTTGAAACAAAACCAAAAAAGACGTATGAAAAGACCGCAAGATCATCCTAAAAAAAGACCGAGATCAAACTGAAAAAAGACTAGTCCGCAAAAGGTGTCTGAGGCTAGGACCGTTCATGTAACCCTTGATTCAAAGTATTTTTAAGTTTGGGCCCTTGGGGTGTAATGTTTTGTAGAATTGGTCGCTAGGGGGCAGATTTGCCAACTTCAGGAAAGTTGGAGTACGTTGGGCGTACTAGTGCATGCTGGATCGCATGTTCAATCCACATACGCTGGGCGTACATGGAGTACGCATGGCGTACATGAGCAAGTATGAAACCCTGATTTCTAGGGTATTGCACCCTATTTAAACTTGGCGATAGCCTCACTAGGTCATGTTTAGACAACCTCCATCCCCTCTTGTCCAGAAATCGAAACCCTAGTGAGATATTGAGAGTTTTGAGCCATAAAGTGAGTTGGTTGGTGCTTTGTGAAGGATAAGAAGAAGTGAATCATTTGGAGTTGTGCTTGGAGCTTGAGGATCCGAGATTTGTTTATCATTTGCTATCCTTGTGAGGTAAAAAGCTCCCATCTTGTTAATATTTGATGCTAGATCTAGTTTTGGTGCCATTTTGTGCTTTTTGAGTCCTTGAAATGATCGTTGAGCCTCTTGATTCACTCCAGAAGTGATTGATGGTAGATATAGGGTTCTTTTGGTCCCTTTGTCCATAAAAATGCAAGCTTTGTGGTGTTTATGGACTCATGCATGTGTTAAGACCCTTTATTACGTTCTTTTGAGCTATAGAATCCCATTAAGCCATGCATGCACACAAAGTTGCCAACTTTACGTGATAAACCACCTTAAATAAGTTAGATCTGAGTGTTGGGTTGAAGTCTTAACCGATTAAGAGCTTAATGATGGAAGTTGGCCAAGCTGGGGAGTACGTTGGGCGTACAAGCTGGTACACTGCGCGTACAAGCCCTTAAGCGAGTACGCTAAGCGTACGAGCTGAGTACGCCCTGTGTACTCAGCAGTGGGCTTCAGAATTATGGGCTTCTTGGTATTGGGCCCATGTTGGACCTTAGTAGTCTTGGGCTTTGTTGGGCCATCAGAATTCTAATGTTGGGCTGATGCTATTTTATTGGACTCGTTTGATTAAAGATCCATGAAGGGATTTGGGCCCAATTCGGAAAATTGGGTCATATTTGGGCTTTGGGTGATTATTCTGGAATTTGGGCTTTTTGGGCAGTTGGTTGGGCCTTGGCCTTGGGTGAAGTTAGGGAAAGGGAAAAAAGTCTTTTACCCTAGTTTGAACTCTTAGTGTGAGTCGGGATCCAATTATTAATTGGAAGTTATTTTGTGATTATAGCGTTTATCCGTGAGATTTAGCAGTCTGAGGTGAGTTTCCTCTATGGGTTTAGTGGGTCGAAGGCACCGATGTCGGCTCATGGTTTGATATGTTAGGATGCTAGACGTCTGCGTGACTCTTGCATGATTATGTGTTGTATGCTTACCGGGCGGGGCCCGATGATTATTATGTATGCTAGACCTTTGTTATACTTGCATGTTTTTGTATGTTGGGCGGGGCTCGTTACACTCATTGGGCAGGGCCCGTTATGCGAGTTAGGGCGAGGCCCGTTACACTCATTGGGCGGGGCCCGTTGATTGATAGATCTGTATACCGGGTGCGGCCCGATGACGGACGAGGCCCATTATGTGTTTGATATGTATGGTATGCGGTATCTTGGGGAACTCACTAAGCATTGTGCTTATGGTTTTCAGTTTATGTTTCAGGTACTCCTAGTTTGAAGGGGAAGAGCCCGAGATGATTACAGTGCACACACCACCGTTTTCCGCATCTTGTGATTTACTCTGATATTTATGATGTATTGATACACGTTGTTCCACCTTGGATTCCATAATGTTGTCTTTGGGATTACCGTTTTATAAATTTAAAATGAAAATTTTGGTCTTATTTTTGGGTACGTTACAAGTTGGTATCAGAGCCTTGGTTTGAGGGATTCGGACATACTCTCGGGTGTTTTTGAAATCAAACTGAGGATTTGGTAAAGTTTCTCAAAAAGAAATGTTTTAAAGAAAAGGGTTTTCTAATACAATAAAGGGTGTGGTGCACGTAATCGACCGAGCTCAAGTAAGTTTTCCCAAAATACCCATACATGTTATTTGATTTGATTTGATTTGTGAATATATGAATCACATGCTAGTTAGGGCTAAGGATCTGCTCAGTGTTTGCATGATAGAATGCGTGTTTCCATGATAGAATGCTAGGAGAGATGCCTTTGTATGCCTATTTTATGAGCTTGTATACTTGCATACTAGTACTGATTAGTCAGTGATAGATTGGCCTGATATGTGATGCCTTGTAGCCTAGGAAGCATGGGATGCTAGGTTGGGAATATGTATTGGTATCAGGTATTACTAAGTGTATGCTTTAAAAATTGTATACGGTTAGGATCATATAGCCCTAGGATGTTTGATTCAGCCTTATTTCCTGTTCCTCGTTTGATTGTGGTCCTAGGGTAGAGTCTTTTATTCGATAGTCTATTTGATCCTGTATTGTGTATAATTTGCATGCTTAAGACAATCGGCATTAAGAGTGGAAGTTCCTAGCATGAGTTGTAGTATGTGAGTAGGATGTTCTTGGTTATTATATAGATTGAAGTGCTACTGCACGAATGCTGCTTGCTTTATGCTTTGTGGAACTCTTAAGTGATGTGAGTTAGCTGCTAAGTGAATACGTCAAGTCACATATGACGAGGGTTGGATAATCTCAGAGTGACGGATTTGACCCTATTACGCATATCTCGTTTGAGTCTAACCGGTTTAGGGACGAGTCATTTACTCGAAGGATTATCTAAGCTTTGTTGCATGTAATTATATTCATGAGGTGGGTAACTGACATTATGGGGGAGTTCTTCAGCAGCTGATGGCAGGGTGAGGTCGGAAACCTAGGAAGGCCTAGGAAGTGCTTCAGTGGGTTTAGTTGTGCTGTCTAGCGAGCATTTGGAGTATCAGTTAAGAAGGTGACTTAGAGGATTCATGATGATTCTCGAGGAAAGTATATATAGGTGTGGAAGGTAGTATTGGGCCCGTGCTAATGAAAGCACATGATCCATACTCGAATCGGGGAGAGTCTCGGAGAATCTAGGAAGTCTGTGGGATGAGAATTCTTGGATATGTTCTGATCCTTTGTATGGTTGTTTTCAGAATGGTGATGAGTACTCAAGAAGGAGGGTCGGGTTCTGATTCTGGACCAGGTGCAGGTACTGGGCCGATCGATGAGCGCATGCGGGATCTTTGGTTCAGTCAAGGAAGGGATTTTGGAGCTCTTGGATGGTCGTCTCAGGGCTTTTCAGATCGAGATTGTAGCAGGGAAGTTAGGGGCCCATCTAGGTCCCAAAGCTTGTGGAGCTCTAGAATCCTTCGAGAAGGAGGATCATACTGCTAGCTCTTGTCATAGGGGATCAGAAGTGGGTTATGTATCATGTTTTCAGGAGGATCGATCCCATGATTGGATTGCCACAGAGGTTTCATGAGTTGTACGCAAGGAGTTAGTCATTATTGGTCGTGTCACTGATAGATTGGTCACCAGGTTCGAGGGTCGGACCTTGGCTGTTCAAACGGTTGATGGGATGGTAGGGGTAACTCAGGAGCAAGATATTTGTTCGGATAGGTGACTAGGGAAGAGGAAGCAGACTCATGGTCCGACTCGACGATCTGAGCAGTTGAACGTTTCCATGGATAGCGTTAGAGACCCAAGGGGCCGTGATGGTGGCACGATGGATGAAGGGGCACATGAGTATGTGCGCGGAAAGTCTAAGTGCGACAGGTGCAGATGGAAGGGCCACCTCCACCAAGAATGCACCCTGAAGTTAGAATGGTGTCATCGTTGTCATCATCCTGGTCATATCATGGCGAATTTCCCACACTTAGTGGTTGGGGCAGCTTAGGTTCCATCGCAGCTTCTTCGGCAGGAAGATGGGGCCAGGATCTCATTAGATGTTATAGCGGGTATATTATCTTTTGCTTTCCTATTGATTTTTTTATCAGTATTTATATTGCTTTGGAATCTTGTTGGGTATGGGTAAGCATTATCTCTGGGTTAGTTCTCTGTTATTACCTGGGTTATATCATCAATAAATATTATATGTCATTAGTGGGTCGTATCTTGCTGAGCGGGATTCATTTGTTTGGGTGATTGTTCCGGTTTTTTGATGGGGTCAGCTCAGGGGTATTGACTGGGAGATCTATAGTCGAATCAGTAGGAATAGTTCATCAGCAAAGTCGGAGTTCGGGCGTGATAGCATTTGTTCAAATAGGATCGGCAGTCGTCTGTGGCAGGACCTTTGGG